TGGAAGTTCTTACCCATCGGTATTTGGGTTGTCTTACACTTTAGAAAAGTTCCTTCACRGGAGTTAGACAGTACATTTCAGCTGCTTAATGGAAACATGGGTTTCCCTTCACTGTCCTTGGTGAGCTCACAGAATGGAAACCTCTGCCGGGAAGGTGCTGGGCGCTGAATTGCACTGCCACAGGAGCCGTGCCCTTCCGGAGCGTTGCTGCTTCCCCCTGACCAAGTTGCTGGAGTTCCCCGGAGCTGCCTTCCATACGGATCTGTGCTTGTGCTCCTCAGTGTTTTGACATGCCTAGGTCTTTGCAAATGCTTGGAGGTAGCTGGTTGGAAGGCTGTTGTCTCTGGTGGGAGTTGTGCTCCTATAAGACCGAGAAGGTTTACGTGTGAATTGCAGATTGTGGGAATGGAATCAGAGCTGGTGTCTTGCTGCGCTGCCCCACCAGGGAGGCTGAGCTGTAACAGGAAAGAGTTAATTGCTTTTTGTACCCGAGGAGCATGCGCTGRGGAGGTAGGGACACAGCAGGAGGTGTTATGGCAAAGCTCCTTTGCCCTAATGCTGCCCTTTGGACTAGGGAGCTTCCTCTTTCCCCAAATATATGGAACAACTGTTGCATTCAGTATGTGTGCAGTTATGCGCTCCCCAGTGTGAGAGGGATATGGAGCTTCTAGAGAGGGTCCAGCAGAGAGCAACAAAGATGGTTAAGGGAATGGAACACCTCTCTCATGAGTTGAGACTGAGTGAGTTGGGCCTATTTTCTCTGGAGGAGAGAAGGCTGAGAGGGGATCTGATTAACATGTATAAGTTCATGAAGGGGGAATGTAGGGAGGAAGGGRCCAAGCTCTTCTCAGTGGTGGCCGGTGACAGGACAAGGGGCAATGGGTACAAGTTGCAACATAGGAAGTTCCATCTGCATTTGAGGAACTTCCTTCCTGTGAGGGTGACAGAGCCCTGGCACAGGCTGCCCAGGGAGGCTGTGGAGTCTCCTTCTCTGGAGATCTTCCAAACCGCCTGGATGCCGCCCTGTGCCCCGTGCTCTGGGTGTCCCTGCTGGAGCAGGGGGTTGGGCTAGATCATCTCCAGAGGTCCCTTCAACCCTCTCAACCAGTCTGTGATTCTGTGATTCTGCCTCAGAGCTGCCTTGATTCTGTAACAGATAGAATAGCCTGGGGTCACTGCTTTTAAAAAGGGATCTGAAGATCCTTCAGAATGAGAAGTGCTGAGGAGGGGTGAGGTTGCTGGTTCTTGCTGAGACACTTCTTTTTCTTACCCTTTAGGTAAAAGGGAAATGCACCACTGACCATATCTCTGCAGCCGGGCCTTGGCTTAAATTCCGTGGCCATCTGGACAACATCTCCAACAACCTGCTCATTGGTGCCATCAACATTGAGAACGGCAAAGCCAACTCTGTGAGGAATGCCTTGACCCAGGAGTTTGGGCCAGTCCCAGACACAGCTCGTTACTATAAGGTGAGACTTTCTCCTAATGCAGCTTTTCTATAGGAGTGTGTATGTTTTCTGCAGTCGGTGCCAAGGCAGAGCATGTCTCTCACTGTTCTCCATTAGCAGCAGCTGTGAAGTCACTTAGTACTGAGGCCTTGTCTCGGGACTTAGTTGTGATGACAGTTCCTGTGGCAGATACTCCTCCTGTCCACTGAAGAGAAGAGTGAGGAAGGTCTTGTGACACAGAAGGCACCAGAAATCTTAAACCTCTCAACACTAAGTGCCTTACTAGATAGTGGCGTCATCAAGCTGTGTCAGTCTTACCTGCTGGAGTTTCTCACCGGTGACACATCTGATGTTTAAGAAAAATTTCATCTCGTCTCATTCATTCCTGAAAACTTGACTTGCCCCCTCAGGAAATGTCCATTCACCCACTGCATAGCTGGACAATGGTCCAAGATTTTTCTTCTTCCAGCAGACAGAAGTTGCAGCTCTCAGTGTCGATTCCAGAAGGAGAGCAGGGATCATGGCTGGCCCAAATGCTGCCCTGCCRAGGTGGCTGCAAGGCTTTGCTCTAGATCCTGCAGGCAGCCCTCTTCAGCCTATGCTGGCCAAGGATGGCAATGCCCAGCTGCTCTGGAGCCTGTAATTCCTTTATTTCTGTCCTTCATCAGAACCAGGAGTGCTTTCTGGGGGCGCCTTCCTCAGCAGTATCATTAGTGTAGCTATGAAATTAKATGTGTATTTGTTGTTAACTCCTAACTTCAGTGACTAGATGGCACATGTCTAAACCTGTTCCTTTTGTCACAGAAAATGGGTGTCAAATGGGCAGTTATTGGGGATGAAAACTACGGTGAAGGATCAAGCAGGGAGCACGCAGCGTTGGAGCCACGGCACCTGGGGGGCAGGGTCATCATCACCAAGAGCTTCGCCAGGATCCATGGTGAGTTGAGTGAGGTGTCCCTGTGACACGCGTGAGCAGCACAGACTTGGCTTGGGTGGAAGAGAGGTTTCCTATGGGAGTTGTGCTGTGGCGTGTGAGAAGGAAACTCCGTCTGCTGATAGGTACCTCTTGCCAGGAATCCAGTTCCATCTCTAGCTAGACATGCCACAAGTGGAGACATTTGCTTTGCTACACAAAGAGTAAAATTATTGTTGGAATGCTGCTCTGAGAGGCCCTGAGCAGGCAGAAGGTAATCTTGATCCCCTGTGGTGCATTACAGGGGGGCTCAACATGAACTCTGTGGTTTGTTCTCCGCAGAAACCAACCTGAAGAAGCAGGGCCTGCTGCCTCTCACCTTTGCCGATCCAGCGGAYTACAACAAGATCCATCCTGTGGACAAGCTAAGCATTGTGGGGCTGGCAGACTTTGCACCTGGAAAGGTACCTGTCTGCGTGTCTTGCCCGCACACTCGGGGGGAGAGACGCCCCGCTGGCTGTAGAGGGGACAGGGCAGAGTGGAGTGGGGTGGTGGTAGGGGCCTGAAGCGGCACGGCCACCTTGGGGGCCGTGGTGGCCACAGAGCAGCTGTGTCAGGATGGTCTCAATTCCTGGACATGCTGCCTTAGGCGTGAGAAGTGCTCTCTGTGACCGCACTCATATGTGAGGCCCAAACTGGGCTGGAGTGCTCCATTGGCCAAGTCCTTTAGCAGGGTAGAGGTTTTGCTGTGAGCGGCTTTGGTTAAGTTGCTCCCTGGAAAAGAAAGGGGAAAATAAGAACGGTTTTCTTTCCTTAGCCTCTGAAATGCATCATCAAGCATCCCAACGGGAGCCAAGAAACAATCCTGTTGAACCACACCTTCAACGAGTCGCAGATAGAGTGGTTTCAAGCCGGCAGTGCCCTCAACAGAATGAAGGAGCTGCAGCAGAAATGAAGTAGAAGTGCACACGTTGCCCGCAGTGCACTGGACTCGATTCAGCTTTGGCATTTTCATGAAAGTGCAATTCCATGCCTACTGTTGGAATAAATGTCTGATCAAATGTAACCATAGCTTCCTTTTTGTTATGGTACTTCCTCTTCACTGACAGTATGAAAAGGGAGTGCAGCTAGGCTTACTTTTGTCTTTTAAATTCCCCCGCGCCCTTTTTCTATTTTGGCTCCATTTCAGTTGCCCCACAGTTATTTATATTTGGAGAAATGACCAGCTAAGGTAGATTCGTCTGCTCAGTTGGTTGTTTTCTGCCCATTCACTTTACTGATGGCTAAAGACTTAAAATGAAAATAAAGACTGTGACCATCTTTTCTGCCTCAAGTCTCTTGTATTCATGGTTGTGCTCTTCAGCCCCTGCTTTACTCTCACTGGAAGGAAGGGAAAGAACTTCTCCATGGAGGTGGGAAGGTACTGGCTCCTCAGCTTTTATTGTAAGCATAAGTCTATGCAAAAACAAGTGGAAAAGTCACAGACCTAGTGGTGGTCTCAAATGAGTAGAAGCAGGTACCTTGTGCACTGTACCCACTGGCAGGGACACAGAATTGGCCCCTCYTTCACAACTACATTCCTGTGCAGAACGCTGCAGCCAGAACATGCAAGGAGCAAGTGATTTTCCTGCTCTCCCTGAGTTRAAGGAACTCCCTGGAGCCCAGCTCATGCCATGACCTCTCACTGCCGCTGCGCTGTCAGTCCCATTAGAAGAGGCCATCAGCACCTTGGCTGTCCCCAGCTCCTGGCAGCTCTGATCTTGCAGAGGGGGAGCCGGGCACAGCACCCTCCTGGAGGTGCCCAAGTGGGGGTTCTCCCCACGCAGGACCCCCCGGGCAGAAGCTGCTGTAGCTGCCAAGGCTTTCGGCCCCTTCATGCAGATTCCTTGCCCCTCCAGGGCAGTTGGGGGCTCTGCAAAGTGCTTGTTTCCACAGCACCAGGATGATTGTAGGTCCAAGCAGCACTGCTGTAGAGCAGCATTCGTGGAGCTCATTGTCTGTGCAGATGGACCTCTGTTACTATGCAGACCTAGAGAATTCTGGGCTTCCTTTTGAGGAGAGCTATGCACCAGGAATAACGGTTCACAATTAAGGGCTTGCAGCGTCGCTGCAGGGAGGGTGCTGGTGGCTCAGGCTTTGTTTTCACCATTGGGGGTTARCAGAGCCGCTAGCCCAGGGAATTATACCCCTTCCTGCCAAATGTGCCTGCTTTGTAATTACGTACATCACCCTCTTGGCACGGGGCCCTGCATAGATTTCCCTCGCTGGTTTGTTCCCCCTCTTTCCTTTCACTGCTGTCACAGAGGCTGATGGCAATTGTTTGTTCCTGGCTGCTCGAGCACAGTGAAGTGTTGGTCTCCACACTAAAGAGTGTCTGCCCTGAAATACAAGTAGCTAAACTCCAGGAGACAAGTTTTTTTCTTCCTGCCGGCCAGGAAGCTTAGTGCTTCTCCACAATATGCACCGGAAAGCAGCCCAGGGTGGTGGTTTCTTTTCTTTTTTAACTCTTTATTCTTTCTCTGGTATTAACACACCCACACAAACAAGTGTTCAGCTCACCCAGAGACAGTGGTTTGTTTCAGTTTATAATCACATTTTTTCAGTCAAACTCCAGTGAAGTTGAACTTAGCTGGCATAAACGCAACCCACCTAATAAAGTATTTCCATTCACCATAATAAGCAGCTGATAGCTTTCCACAATAGTCATCTTCATATTAACTAAGTTATTTTGGGGTAAATTACTCTCATTCCCATTTTCTTGGACTGACTTCATCCATGAATCCATTTTTAGGAAGGTCCTATGTTTCGGAGAATATTATCCCAGGCTTCCTTGCCCTTCCAGAGGCAGCGCTTCCCAAGTAGCAAGAGGCTCCCACTCTGTTGCCTCTAGGATTTCGCTGTTCCTTCTTGCAGTACCTGCAGAGCAAGAGCCTGTTCCGTTTCCTGTCAGAAGATGGGCAAGTTYTGCACCTCTGAGACCAAGCTCTCAGCTCAAGGAAGCACCACTCCACACAGGCATTATCTTCTACTTTCTTTCACTGAAGTCAATTCCCTAAAGACCCCCAGAGTTTTGCCTCCCATGCAGGAGACCAAAGCCCCAGCTGAGTTTGTTGCTGCTGGGCTCAAGACTTTTTGTGCCTGTAATTTGACTTCTACATCTCAGGAAAGACATTTCTTGGAAGCAACTGCCTTGATCTGGCAGGTTGGAAGCTGAAGGGTAAACAGAAAGTGGCAGGTCTAATTTCTTGTTCAGCTTCAAGGCAGCAATGAGCACCAGCAGGATCCCTTAATCCTCCAAAACATCCACCAGGACTTTCTGCAGAGCACGTTCAGGTTGGGGCTAACTGTTCGTCCACCACGACAGGAGGCCCAAACCTGGCTCACTGATTGATCCCTGTTCACAGAGAGRAAAAGAGAGCATGTGATTTTAAACTGCAAAGAGAATATAGGAGTAAATGCATAAAGATATAAATCCCCTCTCTCCCCGGGTACTGATGAGGCATTCGCTTTTTTCCTGTCAGAGCCTGCCCAGCTCCGATCTAAACTCCTTTAATCTTTGACAACGCCACACCAAACGTTCACCACCTGGAAATSAAGCACTCGCTCGTTCCCTTTCCTGACTGTGCTCACTGCCCAACGTACTAATCTGCTTCTCACTGCAAGGAAACTGTGAGATTTCACTGTTTACTCCTGTCCTTCTGGTATATTTAACTCGGTTCTTATGCCAAAACACCACAGGGGAAAAGACTTTTGTGTGAGCCTTGATGTGCTTCTCCTAGTTCTGTATTCTTTGCATGCTCATTTTCATCTGCAGATCCTGCAGCTAAAGTCTGTTTTAAATCAGCCTCCCGGAGTTCAACTCCACTAACAACTACAATCTGTTACAAAGAAAACAGAGCAAATACAAACTGACCACACTTACACACACTCACACACTTCTCCTTTCTCTCATCTTCCACCCCTTTCATTCTGCGATTTTCACTGCTCCCTGGTCAACTTAAATGAACCAGTTGCTTGGAAACAACCACTTGGAAAAGGGGCATTATTTTAGACACAGAATAAACCGCAAGGTTTACAAGGCTGCGTGAACTGCACACATAGCTACCACAAGGGTGTAGGGTGCCTCCTTCTTCTGGACTTCTTCCGTGGCGTTGGAAGTGGAAGCCTCTGCGGAGCTTGGCCCCGTGGGGGACGTATCAACAAACGTTTCATCCATGACGCGGAAGCGGATCTCCTCCCCGATGTCCATGTACAGGTCGTGAGCCCCTTCTTCTGTTTCGTACTCCCACACCCACACCTGCTCTGCTTCGTCACTGGCGGCCCAAGGGTGAAGGACAGAAACAGGCAGCACAGGAAACAGGCAGCACCCTACCCACTGGGGCACTTTCTTTGGAGAAGAGGCTCTTCATTCAAGAAGCCCTTCACAATTACTTCTCTAACTGCAGTTCACTGGCCTYGACCATCCTCTGCATGTTCCAGGACCCCAATCTTCTCATGGATTTTCCTCTACCAAGGTATATGCWGATGTGAAGTACAACCCTTCCTCCAGAAAAACAAAAAACTAATTAAAAAAAACCCAAACGTAAGAGCAAGACATGACCTACTGCAAGTAAATATATTAGGCACACTGAGTATCTAGACATTATATGATGTGGGGAAAAAACTGCATTCTGTTTGCATCAGCAGCCATGGCTAGAGGCAAGGATCACAGAGCCAATTTTTTGAGGGACGCTGCTATTCATTTCCACTAGCTGGCACAACGACCCCACAAGGCAAGTGGGCCGCTTGCCTGGCCGTGATAACAGCCCGTGGGACCTGCCTGATGGAGCAGCCCAGACCGTCACTGATCACTGCCTGCTACAGCCTGGACTGCCCGCTGGGACACCCCCACACCAGCTTTGGAAAGGAAGTAGTAAAGCTACAGGAGGTGCAAAAAGGATACAACTTAGCCGGTTGCTGCAGGGATTCTGGAGGGATGACAATATCGTCAAAGAATCCAAGAGAAACTGCGAAGGAAAGAATTTGATAAAGACTGMGACTCTTCTTCACAACTTACGTGCCGTAGCAATCCCTAAATCACGCTTCCCAGGCTCATTATCCTTCCTCTTTCAGGAAGGGCATGTGAGATTATGCAGGGATTATTCCTTGAGCCACAATATTCGATTTCAGCTGGCAGGAAAGCAATCACCAGCTCAAAGTACATAAAGCAACAGAGGGCACAGTCTTCACATTCACTGCGAAAGGAAAAGGCTCTTTAGAGCGGGGTTGGCAATGAAAGCCTTCCAAGAAATGAGTCAGATGCTCAAGAGGTCTGTGACCGAAAGGAGCTTGGCAATCACAGATGTAACACATTAAATAAAGACTAACATAAAGCTAGAACAAAATCCTCCCCGGGAGATTCTGAGATTTCATGATGTTGAGTATTACCAGGTAGCAGACCTGCCCAAATGTGCACTGTAACAAGTGCACATGCTATAATCTCCTTGTCCTAATCTTAACAGCAGAGGAGCTTGCTTGCATGGAAAACTCCTTCAGAAAGGGAAGGCAGCTCACTGACAGTGTGTTTTATGGATCTGACAGCTCTCTGTGCTAGGAGAGAAGTTTCCCTGACCTATTCTCAGATATAAGAAATGATCACGGATTTTTCACAAAACTGTGGGAAAAATATTTCACAGCAACACGGTCCACTACTGCCACTGCAAACAAACAACCTCTGTTCAGTGATGTGAGAAGATAAACCCAGCCTATGCTCCAGATGGGTTTAGCTGCTTGTTCTTCTTGGGCACGCACGAATGACAAAAGGCAGGGGGGGCAGTACAGACAAAACCAAGTGCAGCAGAAGCTGCCAGGCTCAACCTACCGACTATTTTTAGATCAGAGCAGCGCTAGAGGCCAGCAGAAGCCTTTAGCCAACCCACACACAACATTATGCAACCTGAAATCATAGTCTCTCAGGAAGGCCAAATGCTCTGCAGCTCTCATGCACCCAGTGTCAGAAGTGCCAATTTACCGTGAACGCCGTCCTGACTGCAGCTTTTAATTTCTCCAATCAGAATCTCATCCAGGAAGGGATGGAAGACCACGTAGCGGAAATGCACTTCAAAGAAAACAGATCGTTAGTGTTATGTCCACAGGAGTGAACTACACGCTTTCCACAGGGCGGCAGCCATTAAAACAAAATCCCACTTCCTATCTGCTCTTTAAAATTTGATTATTTTAAAAACATGGCTGCATCGAGCTTATCCCTTTTTCGCAGGAATAATTACATGAGGAAGACAGGAGTTGAACATCAGCTGMAATGATGCTTTCCCATAATACCTCTCATTAATAGCAGCACTGTATTTTCATCCCTTGAAAAAAATTATATCAAATATAATTAGAGCGGCTAAGCTACTTTAACATAACTAGATTTTTCAAACAGGTTAAAAATGTTTCTAAGTAGTACAATTTTCTTATAAATGCAAAATGTTTATGACAATCTCAGTCAAATAATGCTTATGAGCTATTTAACATTTTAGCTGTCCATACTCAGTGCTGCTGTTTTACAGAAAGCCAGACTACTACACTAGAAAAGGAGTTATTACTAGACATCAAGATTTATTATAATTTCTGAAGACTCTGAAAACAGAAGACTCCTTTACAAACTCAAAGAAATAAATATTGTTCTGATTCAGTTCCAGGACTATTGCAAAGTTAAGAAGCTGAATGAAAATACAAATAAGCAAACAAGAAATCCTCTATTGTCCTTCTGTCTTGCACCAGCTTTTATCTGTAGGCAATGAGTTCTAGGAGAACTAAAACTTAAGAATATGTTAGCCTCATAYAGTCAGGTCAGTTGCTTTCAAACAGGCAATGTTCCATTTGCTCCAGCTACACTTCTGCATTGAAAACTGAAGCTAGAAAAATGCATCTCTGCAGTTCATTTTAATAATATTAAAAAWATATATATATGTATTACTGCTAGATTTCATTTAGACAAATTTGACAAAAGGCAAAAGCAAAGAAATTAATTATTGTTGTTTTCTAAACAAAAACAAGCAAAAAGCAAGCAAACAAAAAGAAAACAGCCATAAATGTATGCTGAACCAGATCTGCCCAACTCTCAAGGGAAAAAAAAAGATAAGAAAAAAAAAGGTAGCAAAAGTCCCAGTTAGAAAAATAGCATCAAATACTGTGTGAAGGCTATATTTAGAAACACGTGTCATCTTTTTGTCTGGAGAAAATAAGCTTCAAAAAAAAAAAAAATACTGGAAAAATCAGAAGACTATTAATACGAATTATTTTATTTTGCAGATTTCCAATCATTTTAAACTCAGTTAGTCYCCTTCTTTATCTAACCACTAGGCTGCTATTTGGAAAAAAAGTAAGAAGAGATGGACTGCTGGTGAGGGCAGACAGAACGAGGTGCTTATGCTTGCAATTGTTACAGGAAAAAAGAAAGCAAAGGAAAGRCTCCTGCCACCCTCCTCATGGTCTCCTATAAGGACAGAGTTAAGGCTGTGACCTTCATTAAATTCCTTTAAATTTAATTTGCATAACAGTAGAACTTAGTTTACATTTCTAGGTYACTAACATTCCGCAAAACCAAGTAACTGAGGGCAAGAGGAGACCTTTGGTATGCGAGGCACCATCTCCAGGGAATATGTACGAATCCTCCAGCTTTGTAATATCATACAGGCAGATACAGAGGCCGACATTGTACACAACCTGCTCAAAACAATAAATAAATAAATAAACAAAAAGCAGTAAATCAAGCAATCTACCAGATTCACTCTTTTCTAATTTATTTCTCCACTTTTTTTTTTTAATATGGAAGGCAATGGAAGAATGGCAAGATGGAGGGGGGATGTTTTGGTCCTCTCCTTCAACAGCCCCAGCTCCCCTTCTAACTACTCAGAGCAACCTAAAACCTCTCCCTTATTCAAGCTTTGCGGGCAGATGTGTTTTTACTGGTACTAGAAAGTGCACTGCTACCCAAACTGTAGGGGTGACGGTCAGTGATGAAAAATCTTGACTGGCCAAGGTGGCAAACACTTGCCCAGAGGAAGGGGCASGCATCCGGCACCAACCTCATAACCTGTCTAAAGGCCAATAAATTTCTTGCTAAAGTTACACTCCCAGGAGCCTCTTAGACTTGCGTTTGTCTCAAGTCATAAGAGCTGTGGACACAGACAAGGAAGACACCCTTGCTCCCTTTGCTACTTCTGATGCAGCTTCACAGCCTAAGCTTGAGGCCCCCGTTGGTCATCAGAGGAGTTTTGTTCTCCAGAAGCCGACTGATTCAATCCGCTCTCCACAACCCTAGATGGATTTGGCGGCTCCTTTGAGCTCCCTTCACATTCGCCAGCCACATTCTGAGTTTTGCACCTGTCTCATGCTGAAAGCTGCACGTTAATCACAGTCCCAGGGGCTGCACAGAGAAACTGCCATCTCCCAGCCTGTGACATAGTGCTTTTTGTAGCTGACACAGCTTCTCGTGACCATACTGTATTTAAAATACTGTCCCCTCCGSTTCTCTTACATTTATCTCCATTGTCCATCTTTAAACTTCCCCTTGGACAGATTAGTTTGCACCCATTTTTTTTCCCACTGTGTTTCAGCTTGCAACTCCAAACAAAATGCAYGSTGCGGTGGATCGAGGGCTGGCTGGATGGCAGAGCTCAGAGG